TTCAGCCATACCATGCTAAAGGTGATAAAGWACGTACAAACGCAAGCAAGGTTAAGAACAAACTTCAAATTTCGATGTCATTAAAAAGTAAATTGCTGAAATTTTTGCTGCGTTAAATAGTGATGATGCCAAATGAGATAAAAATGCACCCTGAACTTCAAAGCAATATATTTAATACAAGAACAAAAAAATCCAATATTGAGATCAGTGTTGCACATAATTCTACATAAAGATTTGGAAGGGTTGTATGTCAAAAATATATCCATTCCTAATAAGGACGTCAGCTACGCGCCAAAATATATGATATGTGTGCATGGCTCCAGGTCATCAGCAGCAAGTTGTAAGGTCACATACAAATACAGTGAAATTCCCATTAAAATCTAAGCATTTTTGGATTTAACCGTAAGCTTGTTGCCTTTTTACTAAGGATTTTTTTGTAAGTTATCCAAAAAGCCGACAAAGAAGCCAGTGTCACTTAGGATTGGGCGATCTTGAAGTTAATCCTGGATGCCTATGTAGCACATGAAGAGCGGAGTAAAACGAAATTATTAAGCAGTTCCTACCTCAAAGTCACGTTTTTTTCACCTCTTAAATTCACATTTCCAGGGTTAGCCATGAATCTTCTCGTTTTCTTCGAGACCCGCCATTTAATTCAAACATAGACCAAAAGTTACGCGGGCTCTGGACGAGMTTGSGTTCAATTTGTCACGCTCACGCAATACTCACATCAAACCCAGACCCCTCATCTTTTTATGTCAATGTCAAGTCATAACTGCAATTATCATAAATCAGTTATTACCGCGGCAATAAAACTAGTGAGGAATATTTGTAAAAATCAAGAACTGATATGTTGTTGACCAATCAACTTAATTTTCATKCTGTCTGTAATGTTGCACCTTAGCAGTAGCRTMCASAGGGGGCTTCCAGCTTTTTTGTTTTCATTGTTTCAAGACTGTGAAGAAGGCGATTRACTTTATRCTCTGCGAACAGAACTACTTTTCTCARCCGCCRAGAAGGYGAGAGAACAWTAGAGCTATTTTTCTCTCGCTTTCTSAGYAAGTGAAAAAAGTAGATCTGYTCGCAGAKTATTGAYTGTAAAATTGYACATTTGTATTCACAATGAACAAAGTGTTGAACTATAATGTTTTACRMTATTTGGTAAATAAACCCTGATATAGACTTTGTCTGCCAACAAAGGGGTGTTCTGGAATAACTGCTGCCATGATTAGCATGTATTGTATACTGTTTATGTTTAAACAAAAAGACACTATTTTACTAACAATATTTATTTCAGGAACCAGAAATCTGACATGTAGACGACCTGATCTTAACACTTACTATGCAATGAATGTGACTGAGGTGGATGCAGGATTTTTCCCTAAGGCGTGGTGAGGGTGTGCTATTCTCTTCAATTTATGAGGTTTAACTACAGCCATAACTTTAATACTTAGACAGTGATATGGTTGATTGATAYGGTGGAGTGCACATAAACATACAAAGTCATCCCCAGCACCACCCCCTGGAGTCAACCCTGAACCACCCCCTGGATTCAACCCTGCACCACCCCCTGGATCCATCTCTGAATGGGAACTTGTAAGTTTTGTTGGTGTTTGATATGTTTAAATATGTTGGCATAAGTCAGGWGGGGACAGTAGTGGATGTTGAACTAGAACAATAATACTACAGTTGAAAATGATGGTTCTGGACRGAATATAATAGAACTGTAACAAAACTAGTGATTACCAGTGATGATGATGATGACAGTGATGATGGCATCAGTGATAATGATAATAATATGATGATATTTGATGCTGGTAATAGTATCAAGGTATAAAGTAGGTTGTTTTRGTTGTTTCTYGTATCCTGGAATATGTTATTTCATTAAAATATTGCAAACATCCTATGTTACAAATTTGTTCAATCAATAATAATAATAATATCAATAATAATTAAACTAATATTATTTACAAATGGTCCTATACAGCAGTGCTTTCTTGTTCTGAAAAAACAAACACAATATTCCATGATTACTTGGAATCACACTGACAATTTCCAAACAGCAAAACATCATGGGTATCACAGGTATTCAAATATCTTCCTTCAAATGGTATCATTCTTAAATAAATACCCAACAAGAAAAACAAACACAAACTAAATTTCTAATCTTTTCAAGTATTTACAGCAYTATATACAATTTGCTACTAGTGAGATATAATGTATTTATATGCATGATTTCCAATTTGAAATGAACTTTGAAAAATTGACAAAARGTGAATGTCATCAATTCCTTTTCCACACAAGTCATATGGAGTGGACTTTAAAAAAATATAAATTAACAGGAGTACATACCATTTGGTTCATTTGGACCCCATATTTTTACTGTRCCATCATCACTGGCTGATGCCAGCATACTTGGTATTGATGGATTCCAGCTAACACAATTGACTGTTCTAGAGTGTCCTTTTAATATTGCTATAGGTTCTTGCATTTTAATGTGCCATAGGTATACATTATGATCTAAAAACACAGATATATCAAAAACAATTTTACTGCAGCAACAGACCTTGGAACATGTAATGCTGTTGTATTTCCGATTGTGGSTCATTCGTTACAGAATATTATTTTTGATGCTTGAAAAGATACCCAAGCATACAATTGTACCTCTAAGTGGTCAATAGGCAGCCGCAATAAAAATGTAATATCTTTTCTACCACTATTTAGCAGCAGTTTTGGTTATCACTGTATATGCAACTGAGTAATTGATTCAATAACAAGATTTACATGTACCTTCACTACCACTAGCTAAAAATACTTGATTTATTCCACCAAAACATGAATGTATTGTATAGAAGCCTTGTGTTAAGCCTTGGTACTTTCTTTCTAATACTTTATCTTTTAGACCCCATAAGTGTAAACCCTAGAGAAAAATAATTATACAAAATGAAACAAACAGAG